TATCCCATTGACTATGAGTAGACAGGAGGAGATGGCTGGAGGAGATTAGAGACAAGGTTCATGTACCTGGACAAACAATAGTAGCCCAAGATTGAGGAGGTCCGGTGTTTAATGGACGTGGGCAGGTATTGAGTTACTGAGATGGGCTATTCTTTGTGTGTTAGTAATTCAATAACGGAAGACATTAAAAACTCTTACAATAATATTTATTTTATTTAAAAGTTGTAAAAGTGTCCCTCCCTGATACTGTTTCCTGATTTAAATACGAACATACATAATGACACACACAGTGTACATGCATCTATTAATCTATTAATCTATTAATCTATTACTCTATTAATCTATTAATCTATTAATCTATTAATCTATTAATCTATTAATCTATTAATCTATTAATCTATTATATATGTACCTCATTATAGTTACAATAGATATTCACTCACCTCTGGTGCTTCCATCCATCCTCTCTTGACAGTGAAGTAAAGTCTTACCCAGGCACTGCCAAACGTTCTCTGTTCAAGATACATCATATAACCGCTCTTACTCCTACCTAATGATGATAATAATAATAATAATAATAATAATAATAATAATAATAATAATAATAATAATAATAATAATAAATAGAGTGTAGCCTCTATATAATGGACACTGTGTCTCTGTTATACAGAGGTGTCCTTTATGTGGAGGTTATTTTATACAGTAAGGAATGTAATTGGTACACTAGGTGCTGTCCGTTAAATGGAGGTGTACGCTATAGAGAGTGTCCATTAAGAGAGGCTATACTGTACATGTACAACACTAACTTGTCTAGTTCAGCTGGTGTTGGGTCTACTGGTGAGTTAGGAGTGTCATCAGTCAAAGTATCATCAGTAGAAGTAGTTTGATTGTGAATAGCATAAGTAATGGCATTAGTGAGGACATCTATCCACTCTTGCAACACTGAAGAATGGGAGAGGGGGGGGAGAGGGAGGGAGAGGGAGAGGGGGGAGGGGGAGGGAGGGAGAGGGGGAGATACACTTAGGATGGTATAATTATAATAATTACTCACATTTAGAATTCTCTGCCTGAAGCAATACGGTCCTAAATGGAGATATAACTTTAAAACAAAAGTTCCTTTCAGAATCTGACGGTTCAGCCAACTTCACGTTACAGACATTGAGCTGGAGTGATATGGGGACCTTAGCCTTGTTCTATTAATAAATAAAATAATAATAATAACAACAATACAATAGTACATGATTATATAATGAGAGAAAGGAGCCCATTAGCTTCGGTACTGATGAGAAGAGATCATTCCAAGAATTGTAACTAATAGTATCTTTTCTATTAACCTTTATACAGTAAAAGCATTACATTAGTATTATTAGTGTACACAGTCATATCCCATTGACTATGAGTAGACAGGAGGAGATGGCTGGAGGAGATTAGAGACAAGGTTCATGTACCTGGACAAACAATAGTAGCCCAAGATTGAGGAGGTCCGGTGTTTAATGGACGTGGGCAGGTATTGAGTTACTGAGATGGGCTATTCTTTGCGTGTTAGTAATTCAATAACGGAAGACATTAAAAACTCTTACAATAATATTTATTTTATTTAAAAGTTGTAAAAGTGTCCCTCCCTGATACTGTTTCCTGATTTAAATACGAACATACATAATGACACACGCACACAGTGTACATGCATCTATTAATCTATTAATCTATTAATCTATTACTCTATTAATCTATTAATCTATTAATCTATTACTCTATTACTCTATTAATCTATTAATCTATTACTTTATTAATCTATTAATCTATTAATCTATTACTCTATTAATCTATTAATCTATTAATCTATTAATCTATTAATCTATTAATCTATTAATCTATTACTCTATTAATCTATTAATCTATTAATCTATTAATCTATTAATCTATTAATCTATTAATCTATTAATCTATTAATCTATTAATCTATTAATCTATTAATCTATTACTCTATTAATCTATTAATCTATTAATCTATTAATCTATTAATCTATTAATCTATTAATCTATTAATCTATTATATATGTACCTCATTATAGTTACAATAGATATTCACTCACCTCTGGTGCTTCCATCCATCCTCTCTTGACAGTGAAGTAAAGTCTTACCCAGGCACTGCCAAACGTTCTCTGTCAAG